TTCAATGTGTCTAAGAATGTAACCTCTAGGTTCAGATGAAATAACATGTCTATAAATCAAGGCTTTTATTATAATAGGATCTAATCATTTCTTGTTTAAAATTAGTGGACTGTGTGTACTGTTAACAGTACTGTGCTACATACTTAAAAATTTGCTAAGCAAGTAGATCTCATGTGTTTTAATCACAAAAATAAACAAACAAATGAATAAATAGTAAAGAAGGCAAAAGGAAGCTTTTGGAAGTGAAGGGTATATTTATGGCATTGACTGTGGTGATGGTTTCAGGGGTGCATACTTATCTCCAAACTCAAATATGTACAGCTTTTTGCATGTCAATCATACCTCAATAAAGTGGTTAAAAAAGAAAACAAAACTGTGCACAAATGGCTAAAACTAGAAAATTCATTAATAACATAAAACTGCACTTAATAGCACTATTCTATTAAATGACACTCAAATGTCACTCAGCAGCTGTCCTAAATTGTTTGAAAATGACTGGGCTTTTCCAATAATTTTTTACTGTCCTTTCTAAAAATCATAGATTTTTTTTTTTTTCCTATTTTAATCTGTACTCTAAGGAGTCTGACTGAAGAGAGGGTGCTATAAATGGGGCTGGCCGAGTGGCTCAGTTGGTTAAGAGCTTGCTCAAGAGTGCGAGCTCTGAGCAACAGGATCGCCGGTTCAATTCCCAGCCTGAGCTGAGCTGCTGCTGAGCTGCCAACAGGTGGCAGGATGGCTCAGCTAAAAAACAAACAAACAAAAAAAAAGTATAAATGAATTGTGTCGCCCCCCCCCCCCAAATCCATATGTTGAAGCCCTAACCCCCAATGCGACTGTATTTGAGGTTAGGGCTTTTAAGAGGTCATGAGACTGAAATGAGGCCATAAAGGTGGGCTCCTGGTCCAATAGGATGGGCAGCCTGATAAGCAGAGGAAGAGGGGAAAGGCCACATGGGCTACACTGAGGAGGCAGCCGACGGACAGCCAGAAAAAGCGCCCTCACCAGAACCTAAGCACGCTGACATCTGATCTTGGACTTCTAGCCTCCAGGACTGTGAGAAAATAAATTTTTGTTGTTCAAGTCCCCCACCCAAGTCTATTTTGTCATGGCAGCCGAAGGTGGTAAATAAAGCTTAAGACAGAGTTACTAAAATAGTCTTGTTTCGGAAAACATGAATATGTATCTGCATATACGCTTTGCTTCACTTGTTGTTTAATCTACAAAGAATGGACGCGGTTTTTCTCCACACTGACCTCTGGGTCTCGATCCACCCATAATGGAATCAGCCAAGCCAACCCTTGCTGAGTAGGAGCGTGGTCTTCACTGTGGCTACCCAAAGGCAAGAACCAAAGTGACATCCACTCCTAGAATACAAAGGAAAAAAAAGAAACAGAAACACATTAAGTTTTAAGGATAAAACAGAGGGAGTTTTAAATAACTCGGAATTTTTAAAAATCCAAGCAAAATAAAAATGTACTTAAGACTTGGTTATAATTTATTATTTAGCCAAAACTAGGCCAACAAAATTCTCAACTTCTCCTTAAAAAGTTAAATATAACTGTTTCTTAAATAGCTATTTCTTCAGAACAGCTATCTCCCTCATGATTTTGAAAAAAAATGTCTACAATGCAGATTTCAATCAAAATAAATGTCAAATAAAATTCAGATTTGTGTAATATACAACTTCTAAGAAACATCTTAGTGAAAAATCATTTTTGTCTCCTAAAAAGAGAAGTCCAAAGAGACATTTCCATAGAGCCAACTTGCAATGTGTGAGACACTGCACATTCCTTTTCTAGCAAGTGTTCAGAGGCCAGGCAGTCCCTGGTGCTCTCACCGAGCTCTGGTCCTGGGCCATCATCTCATGGGATAAGTGAAGCAGGCAAAGAATTGTGCTCTTGGTGACACCTTTTCCCATGAAGGACATAGCATTTCCTCCACGTTCCACATAAAAAGAAGTAATGACCTGAAAAACAAATGTAAACAATTTCACAGTGGCTTTACTCTGAGTGGTAAATGAGGATAAGTGCTGGTATATCACTTTCTACTGACTTGTCGGAATTGAATCTGAATCACATAAAGTGTATATAAGATTCTCAGTTTATACATTAAAAAACGGTTGAT